TCCCCCCTATGTGGGACCGGGCCGCCGGATGACCCAACCGAGCCGAACCCACGCCCGACCTCCCTCGGCCTGACCTGGAGCGACGGCTCCCTGGTCGCGGCCTCCACGATGCGGCTGGGGATGCCGGACACCCCCGACGACGCCGGTGCGCGGCCCGTGGTGCGGACCCCCGACGGGGTCGAGGATCGCGGGGCGGAAAGACCGGACAGCCGCCTCAGGGACTCTTTCCTCAGCACCCACCTGCCGTCAGGGGTTAAGGTCGAGACCACCCCTATAGAGGTCTTTCGCCCACTCGGGTTTCACATCACGGAGGTTCAGGATTCGCTCAAATAATCCCAAGGTGGCGATCCGAGTCGTTTTTGCTGCAGCGATCACCTCAGAAGGATCGGCTTCGATCTTGTATTCTACTCTGGAGATGGACTGTATCGGCATAGACAAACGGATGTAATGTAAGCCATGGAAAAGAAGTGGGGTCACGACGTCATAGATGAGAATAAGAAAAGAGGAAAAAATCACCACAACAACCAAATGTGGTATCCAAAAAAAAAAAAAACGAAATCTAATAATAATTCTCGAAATAAAGACTCTAAATAGACGAAGATGACACGCATAGAGGGAATCATTTACAGATGCATGTTTTATACATTAAAATTTGTGAATACACGTCTCTTGGGCTACGTTTGTCCTTAGTTCTGGCTACAGTGGGGTCCTCAAGTTGATTGACAAGTAAAAACACTGCAAAGGGAAGCGAAGGAGTGCTGTTGACAGTGCTATGATTTATCTTGTGGCATGCTAATAGTTAAATTTTTGGAACTTTAGAAAGTTCTTAGTATATTACTATGATCATTTTTACAACTTCTAGATTTTTTTTCCATTCCCCCTTGAGCGACACCATTACGCATTCTATTTCCGGGTATCTATGTGGTACGCCATTTTCTAAAATTACAGAAAGTATACATAGGGAGAATGCTATGCAGGATATGTACGGTAGTATTTTTTCCTACTATTCACAACGTGTCCATAGTCTTTTTTGACTTCAATATTTGATTTGTTGCAGTATTTTTTCACGTATATTTTTGCTGCAATTTTTTTATTATTTTTTTCCCTGTAGAAGCGTTCGTTTTATTTTGCTTTATCTTTTTTTTTGTCTGACAGTAAAGATATCGAGTTTATTAGGGGTTCGGTACTCCTTTTTCATCGCTTTTTAACTATGAGTAAATAACATATATGTGTGTATTCAAAAAAGGTAAGTTTATAAAGCTTGTCTTACTTATTTGTCATTAGTTCATTGTTTACATCAGATCAACATAATGGCTGTAGTTGATTCTGATTTTTTTAATATCTATTATGTGCTTAAATATTTTTTGCATGTACCTCAAGAAATTATTCTTGCCTTTTTGCCATGATTTTCGTTTTCTACATTTTCATCCATAAGGATGTAGTATCGGAACGGGAATCATGTAGTAAATTTATCCCAACGCAATAGAATAAAAATCGGAAAGGAATATGGTTTCAGATTTATCTTTTTCAGTGTGAATTTAAAAAGAAAAAAACACAATAGTTTCTAAATGCTATAAAACTACTATGTTCGCCTTTTCTATGTTTTAGTATTACAAAATAACAAAAATATGATAGCCTCAATGTCTGAATTTGGATGGGAAGATCATAATTAAAAAAAAACTAGAGAGGTAATGAAACGATAAAAAGTTTATTGTTTATTTGGCCTTTCAGTTTTCTTGCTCTACTTATTCTTTGTTTTAATAAAAGTATTCGTCTATTACTAGACGAAATTCATACTTTCATAACAAAAAAATACAATTTTATAACCGAGAATCGATATGGATATTTTCCGAGTTTTCTAAGTTATACGATTAGCTCCTATAAGTAAAATTTAAATCAACTCAATGATGAGTTTAGCATCAGTATGCATTCCTAGTAAGACTACCCCCCACGCATCTAAGAAACCTGTCTAGACCAACATAAGTAATCATCCTTCAATAAAAATATCATCGGAAAATTAAACACTTTCATCCTTTCCAGTAAATGGTATGAAAAAGACGAGGAAGGATACATGCGGACTTTTCAGAAAATTATGGATATCATTGATATTAAAATTAACGAAACCTGGCCTTGTGATGTGGGGGTTCATTACCCGTTGCTTTTCCATCGGGTATTTCACCAAGACAGCCTTCGTCTTGGTGAGGCTTACATGTGTATGGGTGTAGGAATACAAACGATTTCTACGCCTTGGATTTTTTTTTTGAAAAAAACCTTCATGGCAATACTGACTGTTATGTGCATATCCACCTGAGTAAATAGATAGGTAATTCATTTTCAAATATTTGTTATCAATGTGATAATTCAACTCAAATCTAGCCCGCAAAACATAAATGTTTTGGGAGTCCCAGCTTTGAAGGCATAGTTAACAAGATTTTTAGTAAACCTTTTTTTCCGTACGTCACATTTTGCATTTCTAAGCGGGAACTGTGGATCTAATATTTTTATTAAACGCATTTATATTATTTAATTCATTAATTTCGATTAGCGTATTAAATGGAATATATAATTATTTATTTATACACATGTGTATGTGTGTCTTTTTAAACTAATTAAAAGCACGAGGATGCATTTTGGCATGTCGGACAACATTTTTTCTTTCCTTTCGGATATGCTTCATCTTATGAGTGTTATTCAGTTTCATAAATTAGATGCCCTTTTTTTTTCATCCTTTATATTTCTTGTTTGTATCATCTTCATACTTAAGATCGCAAACGGACCAATCGTTCGAAACCCCCCAAAAAGTAGCATCAAGAATAAAACGGCGATTTTAATTTCTAATTGTTTTGTAAAGTAAAAATGGAAGAGACCCCAGCTCAGCAACGGCGTGGTGGACGACGACGTGGTAATAGGCGCGACGACGACGACGAGGGGGAGGAGCAGCAGCCGGTCCTGGTGACCCACCCCGACAGCCACCCCCAGGAT